GCTGCCCGGTTTCCCGATTGACCAGGAAGCGGCTCCATGCTCTCTCGTCACTTGTGATGAGAGAGCATGGAGCCAACTTCCCGGCCAATCAGGAAGCTGGGCAGCGTGTAATGACGCGCTGCCCGGCTTCTTGATTGGTCGGGAAGCTGGCCAATCAGGAAGCTGGCTCATGCTCCCTCGTCCTCGTCTGGCCGACCAATCAGGAAGCCAGGAAGCTGGCTTCATGTTCCCTCATCATCTCATGACGAGGGAGCATGGAGCCTGAGGAGCCTCTCAAAAGTGAAAGGCACATGGGGACCCACTGAACACAGGGTTGCGACCCACTTTTGGACTTAAGGACTCATGTCACCTCTGAAGGGTGCTGTAGATAACTCCCCGCTGCAGACTCACAGACTGTCAGAGATTTCTCCTTACAGTCTGTAATCGGCTGCAGCGATCTGTAGCTGCCTGCTGTCAATCAACAGAAGAGAACCTGATGAAGAACTTTTTTCTTCAGGTCCCTCCTCTGGTGATTGACAGCAGGCAGTGGGCGGGTGCAATAGCCTGCCTGTTATTGGCTACTGCAATTTGAAATATCCAATGGCAGGCTGGCTATTGCTCCCAGCAATAAAGTTAAAAAAATCAAGTTAAATAAACAAAAATGGAAAATACAAAAACATCAAGTTAAAAAAAACTAAACTGAATTTTTTTTTAAAGTTTAAAAAGTTGAATAAAAAGTAAAAATGCAAAAAAAATAAAAAATCAAGTTAAATAAACTGAAATGAAAAATACAAATAAAATAAAGCTGAAAAAAAAAACTAAAATGAAATTTAAAAAAAAACAAGTTTAAAAGTTAAATCAATAAAAAGTAAAAATGCAAAAAATAAAGTTAAAGTCCAGCATAGATTCTGCACAGCCCACTTGAAAGTCTCAGGTTAACTCTGCAGGATCTGTGGTTGGGTCTATGGTCGGCTCCGCAGGGTCTCGGGGGCTGTGCAGGATCTGTGGTGGGATCTATGTTGGGCTCCGCAGTGTCTCAGGGGGGCTCTGCAGGATCTATTGTGGGCTCTGTGGGGTCTATGGTGGGCTCTGCAAAGTCTCAGGGGGGCTTTGCAGGACCTGTGGTGGGCTCTGTGGAGTCTATGGTGGGCTCCACAGGGTTTTAGGGGGGCTGTGCAGGATCTGTGGTGGGCTCTGGAGCCCACCACAAATCCTACACAGCCTCCCGAGACCTGCAGTGCCCACCAGAGATCCTTCACAGCCCACCTGAGGCCCAGCAGAGCCCACCACAGATCTTGCAAAGCCCCCCTGAGACCCCGCAGAGCCCACCTGAGATCCCAGCTTTCCTGCAAAAGAACTGGACATTGAAAAAATAATAATTCAAGCTTCTGAAAATAGCATATGTCCCGAACATTACAAGAAATAGCAATTATTATTAACCCCTTCGTGACTGACGACGTCGCCAGCATTGGGGCTGTTTAAACAGACTCCCGGCGACTTTTGCCGCCGGGACTCTGTTTAAACTTGTAGAGCCGACTGTCGGCTAATAAAGTGAAGATCAGATTATATAATACGTCATTTTATTTATTTCTGTTTTTCAGATGATACCAGTGATTGGTTTAGTTCTCCTGATCCTACCTTGTATTTTATCAAGAGAGCGTTTTATAACATCCTATGGTGGGATTTGCACATCACCATGTGGCCTACATGGTGAATCATATTACTGGTGCTGGCAGAAAGGCTATTCTAAATCTTCATGGGACTATTGTTCCCCAGCAGAAAAATATGATTACAAATATAATCCATGTCAGTCATCCTGTAAGTCTGATGGAAAGAGCTATACATGGTGCTCAGTCTCACAGGGAAGTTGGGGCTACTGTGGACGTATCACAGAACAGTTTGAGACATGGTATACAAGATATGACGTACAATGTGTAACTGACTGTAATAAACATGGTGATTATTTTCGATGTTTAGATTCAAATGATAACCGTGAGTATTGTTCTCCATCCAACCATGTGACTAGAAAAGGAAAGCCATGTCGGGAAAATCACCCTTGTGGTTCCTATGGAAAATCTTATTTGTGGTGTTACACAGATGAAAATAATAACTGGGATTACTGTGGGAAAAAAATTATTGACTGTGAAAAGTCTGTTTATTTTTCCCATCGAAAAAAACGTGCGCGTGAAGAACATGAAGTCTGCAGAATAGAAAACACTGCACACAGACGTGTGATACTTCTCAGAGCAATTCCAGAAACCAGATTCCTTAGTCCAACCCGAAATCAATATATGGACGCTTCCCAAGTTATCGACATGTTAACTCCCAATACTGTCTTTAGAAGAGGCACACTGTTGACTCACAATACTGTAAGACTTGATATGCAAGGAGAGTTTGTGAGTGAAGGTGTTCGGTATTATAACCTACAAGTACAATTAAATGGTCAAAGACAAGGCCAATCAAGTTTTTCCCAAGCACTCATCCCTGTAGATATGGACGTTTCCATTTTTTTGGACTCTATACAAACAGCCCTGCACACTAGTTTGGATAGGGTTTATCATGGAGATCCAGTAAAAGTTTTTGCATTCATTCAACGGATGTAAAACAATACAATTTGTAATTATGAGACAAACTGCTGCTTCTGAAATTTTGGCTAAATATTTTAGTTTTTTTTTAACTCATTACAGAAAAGTAGTGCTTACGCAGAGGCTATGCGAAATCAGTTCTGGGGCCTCTATATTTTGTGTTTTCTGTTCCTGTAATTGGTTAATAGCTTATTATATCTAAAAATGCAAGCATGGTAGTTATAGGGTTAACACCTAATTTAAAAAACAAACAAACATGCACCTGCCAGTGATTGAGTGTGCTCATAAGAAAGCTGTTATGTTACTGAACAAATGAATAATTAAAAGCCAGCCACACCAATAATACTATTAGATGACTCTAGAACAAAGGGAGATAGAATTTCTTGGGTACCATCTTTTACACACAGCCTCTGTGGAAGTACCTTATTATCAGCATACGTGCATTCATAATATGGCAGGCACCTATAACCAAGATGGCCGCCGGTAGTACTTTCACTGCAGGCGACCATCTTGAATAGGCGCACAGGCAAACACTGTGGGCACACGAAAATGCCATGATATGTCTTTGTGAAATCCTATTCTGTAGTACTGTACATAGGTACCGACAAGACAAATAAGAAATTCTGAGAAATTGTTTTTGACATTTAAGACATATGAGATATTCCCAAAATTAGAAATAATTGTAAATATATTGAGGTTTGTTTTTTTTAAATGACACAATAAACAAAAAACAGATAAAAATGTGTTTTTCTTGTGTTTCAACATTCTTATTACTTTATTGGTACCGAAAGATGAGGTATGTAAACATGTGTAGTATCAAATAGACTTAGGGGACTATTCACTAAGCTGCCGAAGGATCTAGCCATAGCTTCGGCTAGCTTCGGCCCCAGGACCCCTTCGGTTCAGTAGAACTGAAGGGCTGCTGTACGGGCTATTCACTATAGCCCGTACAGCTCCAGGAGATGGAGAGAATCAATTTAGCAGGCTGACATGCGTGTATCCAATACATCCAGGAAATTTTTTTCCCAGGGGGAGGAGACCCTATTGGGGAAACAGGGACCCCTCAGGTTCGGAGGAGTATATGGGGAGACAAGGAGCCGATTGGGGGACTATAAGGGGAAGGGGCTGGAAAAACCCGCCCATGGACCAGAGGGAAGGATTCAGGAACCCAAGGTTCAGAGGAGGGGGTGCAGAGGGGGGAGGAGGATTCAAATTCAGAAACAACAGAATGTGGTAGGACCGGGCATCTTCAATCTTAGCTCTGCCCCCCTCACTGCAGCTGAAGAAAGGGTACTAAATTTAGGGTTAAAGTTTGCTCCAGCACATAATCTCAATAAATTTAATACCTACATGTACTACCTACCTGTATATTGACATTCAAAAATTCATCAGGAAGCTGAACATTAAAAAGTATTATGCCTCCACTTCAGATAAAGGCCCCCAAAATAAAACTACTACCATAGAAAGAAAATATTTATACACCCCACTAAAAAAAGCAATCAGTTTTTAACCCTAAAAATAATTCCAATCACTTTATTGAAGTATTCAAACATTTAGTGGAAGAGGACCTTAGGTCCCTAGAGATTAAACACATGAGAAATAAAATGTATATCAACACAGGTATAGAATTCTCTAGAGGAAAGAAAAGATATTGTGATTAGACCAGCAGACAAGGGAGAAGGTGTTGTGGTGATGAACAGAGACTTTTATGAGGAAGAAATTTCAAATATATTAGAAGAGGCGCTTCTTCAGGAGATGGAGAGAATCAATTTAGCAGGCTGACATGCGTGTATCCAAGACGACCCCAACCGGGTGGTACACCAAAACAGTCCTCCCAGGGGAGAGGGAGAGGAGCGAGGACCAAACCCTGTGCGGTACTGGGTACGGGTGGCTCGGATGTGTTTGGAGGACAGGAGTCCCTGTGCGTTTGTGGGGCCTCCATGTGAGGCAGTGTCTAGGTGAACAAGTGACCCAAATCCTGCGGTTCTTTACTCCATACAAGGCTTCCCTATTATTCTATGCCTCCCACCTCATACTGCTGGACACAGGGTTTGGTCCTCGCTCCTCTCCCCTCGGAGGACTGTTTTGGTGTACTGCCCGGTTAGGGCCGTCTTGGATACACTAGTTTTAACAAAAATCTGCGCTCTTGGAAAAACTGCTAAAATGTTATTGGATTAAATAAATCGTGATCCTAAAGCTGCTATGAGAAAATATGTGATATGTAAGTGTTAACACAGCGCTATAGGTGTTTAAGTAAACTAAATGGTTTAAACTGAATTAGAGCTAAATTCTATCAAGTGAAAAATTATTTAGTTAAGTGAAACCTAATTGTTCACAGTGAAAACTGCAATATTGTGAAAGGATGTGAAAAAACTGTGTTTCAAACAAATGAAGGGTCTTCAAAGAGACCTATTCAGTGTCTGATATATTTTAAAGCATAAAACTACTTAAGTGATCTATGGTGACAGGAATGTCAAATAGTGACCTATTCAGTGTTAATACATAACATTTAGAGCACAAAGCTCCTTAATTGATACAATGTGACAGGATATCAAATAGATTGAAACACTATGAAACACTAATACATATTTTTAGTGAGTGATAATACAAATCATTAAATGAAGAACCCAGTGAAGCAAAAAATTCCAGTGAAAACGGTGGTATTGAAATTCAATTGGAAAAACTTCTTCCAAAGTCTCAGTCCGTGCTATAAATAGCAGATTAACGCCAAACACAGATATACAGCAGCTCTTCCTCGCCCGATCTGCTGCCCCCAAGCAATGGTTACTCACCAGATGGTGTGTGGATATCAAGCCCCTCTCAGAGGTGTGGGCCTGGTCCCCCAGCTCTCCCACCGATGCGTGCAAGACTCCCCCGGCAGTAGAGCGAATACCGGCAGGTATCTTCACTAGCCGCACCGCAACGGATCCAGCTATTCTTCTACGGCAGGACCCCGGCTCCTTTTATCCACTAATAACTGATGTTTTTCTCCCGGTCCCGATGGTGAATCAAATGGGATTTTAGAAGAGAAAGACAGCCTTCATGGTGCAGTACAAAGCAGCAAAGTTTTATTGAAATTAACAGCTCACATGAAATTTAAAAAATGATTTTTCGGCCGGCCCGACAAACATAGTAAAAACAACAACTCGTGTTGGAAAGATCTGCCCCTTGACGCGTTTCGTCACCTAACGTCTTCTGAAGGTAAACAGATCTTCCCTTATTCCCCAACCAAGTTAAGATATACCTCTATCAATTAAAACTTAAGCAATCAGTACATTAATCAATTAAAAATTCATTACATCTAAAAAAAACCTTAGAACGAAAAGCTCATAGTTTAACACCTTAAACAAATGACTTTCGTATATACCAGAAAGGATGTGTGGGTATTAAAATATTGGTTATAGCCTAGTTAGAATTAACTTTATTCACTAGGATCCATATGGATTAGTATCTGAATGTTTATATTTACATTCATTTTATCCTAATTAAAATAATCCACATAATACATTGGTGATCATTTAGAATGAGTATATATAATGACTCCGTCTGAGGGTGGTGAACATCATTTTTTTATAGATTTTACTATTACCGTATATACTCGAGTATAAGCCGAGATTTTCAGCCCATTTTTTGGGGTGAAAAGTGCCCCCCTCGGCTTATACTCGAGTCAGAGATGTTGTTAATGTGCTCTTTTAATCTCTTTCTTAGTTCTCTTGTGGTTCTTCCTACATACTGCAGGCCGCACGGGCATTCCAGAAGGTATGTTACATGCCGACGTCTCCCATGCTGTCAGAAGCTGCATACATCGTGTGCTGGTTACTACTTAAACCGGCGCGCTGTGTGCAGCTTCTGAGAAGATACGCTATTAGCGTAGCGTGAGTGATACAAAATTCGCAGCCGGCTTCCCCGCTACGCTAATAGCGTATCTTCTCAGATCAAATAATCACAATTTGTTTTAAAAAAAAAAGTTAAAAAATTATTTATAATTATAATATTTATAGTTAACAGATGTTACCACTAAGATATACGGGAATCTTTTTAAAATTAAATTATTTGAAAAAAGAATGATCATTTGAAAAGCTGATTCAAATGAATTAATTTGAGGACCTCTTTTGGTCTAGATTTTGCATTGCTCCTGCAATTCATCCATTGGGCCTGATCTACTGCCGCCTAAATTATTACCGACATGTTTATCAGCACAAATCGGCATCGAAATATCATCAGATTCAATCGATAAATTTTGTGTCCTGGTATATGCTCATGTGTCGTATGTTGATAAACATCGATATGTTTATAAATATGCCGACAAATTTTCGCATGTCACACAAGCTGAAAAAGAAATGCAATACATTTAAACAAATACATTGCTATGCGCTTGTGACAAATTGTGTGTAAACATGTTTTAATGAAATTTCATATGTCTCTGTGCATTGCATGTTCAAATGTTATATTATATAGAGTAAAAAAAATGTCATACATATAATATATATATATATATATATATATATATATATAATAAGTGACCACGTATACTTAACAGCTTCCCTGCCCCTCAGCAGATGGAGGGGTTCATTCACAGAACCCTACAAAACACTGGTCAGCAGCTGACTGTGCTTTATAGGGATTAAGCATCAGACCACCAATATCAGTACCAACAGGGCCTGTGAACCCTCATAGTACTAATATGAATTATTAATGCATTTTAGTGAAAAAGCCGTGTTTAACAAAATGCGCCTTTTATGTAATTAAAACCTGCAGCAGACAAAAGTCATTTTAAAAACTTACCGGTATGACGTCTTCAGCCCTCTGGGTTTCTGGATATTGAACAATAAACGTAAAACAACCTGATGCAACTGAGCAAATGAGATTATAACATTAGACACCTTAAAAAAAGTAAATTCTTATGGCCAGCAGACTGTAACAAAAATAAATGAGCACCAGGGCCTCAGGCCTTCCCTATTGGACTTACCAACTGTACTTTGATATGTATGTACAGTGCACATTGTAATGTTTATTTG